TCATACATTATCTAAAACTAAAATATATATTTTTACTTTCGAATATATTTGCTTTTATTTTGTTCGTTTTTATCTATCAATTTTTATTACCAACATAGATGTACGCTTAATTTTGTAAATAACCAATATACAGTATGCGCATACATATGCTGTTGTCTCCTTAATCATTGAAAATACAAAAAGGCATTTTAAACGAATGTTGCATGGTTTTTGGGGTTTCACGTGTTGTTCAATTACAATTTTAACATAACTTTTTATATTTTTTTAGAAGTATCAACTTTTATATTTTTCAAATAAAGTTTCTACGAAAGATGCAAGATTCAAAAAGTAATTTTTAATCATAGTTTTTAGGCGCACAAACAAGTTCAACGACAAATGTCAAGAAAATACCTTCGAGTTCAATAGCTCATTCGTTAAATCGCAATGTACCAGTTATCTCTTTCAATGCTATCGAGAGTCCTAACATAGAAAATAAAAAATATAATTGGACTAAACAAACAATCAGATTACATCAGCAAAAACAAACGAACGCTCAGACGCAAAATATTATCAATCCAGATTTAAATGTAACATCATCAAGAAACAACACGGACCGTGGAAAGTCATTTGTAACTTTAAGAAGTAAAAGATCTAGTTTGCCATGTACAAAAATGGTATTAACCGAAAGTATCACATCCGACAGTATCTTACTCAGCTCTCAAAAGGATGAAACATTCCACGCAGAAATTTCTCCCAACGTGCAAAGTATAAACGAAATACAAGCTTCTGAGAATCGTAAACCAGTCGACTCACGTTTGCAAAATGTATTTGACATTCTTCGCGAGGATGTACGTCTCTTTTTCAAATTGTTCATTACGCAAAAAAGTTACTCAGAAACAAAATTTACTTAAAAATAACATTTTACAAATATCAGCATTTATTCTTTTCAGTTACCGCTTCTATTCATCAAACAAATGAAGTATGAAATTTATACGCAAGACGTAGTATTTATCAATAATATTAGAGGAACGACAAACGTGTAAGTGTACAAAGTAAAATATTTCTGTTACTAATGTTGTTAAAAGAAAAAAAAAATAATACGCGCACGGTATATATAATGATATAACGTATATACAATAAACATTGCCGTAAATATTTCACAGCGGTATTACACAATATTTCAAGCAAATAACGTTATTAAAAATAATTGGTCATTTGAAATATGCGTTTGTCAAATTAGAGATTTTAAAAATGACCATGCATCCTGAAGACAACAGTATTAAAGTTCGTTGGCGTATAGTAGGTATTTCCGGTACACGCGTATTTCTCACATTTTGGAAGATCAAAGTCTGGAAGTCAAAAGAACAAACAGACAACGCGGCAGCGTGAGTAATTCTGTTTTTTACGTCTGTATCTGTATCTGTATCTGTTATTTATATCTTGCACCAATAGGTGGTACGATGGCTTTTCGACATTTTACGTTAACAACGATGGCAAAATATTCAAACACATCGTGGATAAAACAATGCCCGATCGAGAAATAACAGAAAAAATTAAGACACCTATCGAAACGAAACTCGCACTATTCGTCGCTTTATTAGGTTTAAACCCACATCTTGTTCAATTTTGTTTAAAAAGATATATTAAATTTCTTCGAACAAGATAAAAAATTTATTAAATATTTTCAAATATGTAAAAAAAATAATAAATATTGAAACTGCAATCGATACATTGTTTAAATCTATCATCATTATGTCGTTACATTTATAATTAATATCTAGTCACACCAAGAAACACGTTCCTTTTCAATACTTTTTAACAAACGTGATAGATAAAATTTATAAATATATCAAACTACATTATTACTATCATCGGAGTTACGTACAAGATATTCTGAAATTTAGTTCTTAAAGTTTGCTATTGCGTTCTAAAATATCACGTAACAAAATGCTTATAAACGCTCCATCAAGAAGTTGTAACAAGAATATAAAACATACAGCTACATATACTTGCGCGTATTACTTCGGCAATGCAAAATCGATGTTAAAGAGCCATTGAATTTGTTACAAACCAAATTTCATATTAATCTTGTTAAATTTCTTCGCACGCAGTTCCTATCAAATTCATTTCGAGCAAGTATCTTTGTACAGTAAATCCGTGCTTTTAAAGATAATTAATATCTTCCTTAAACAGAAATCGGAATCTCACGTAAGATCTAGCAATCTAGAAAACCAGAAAATTGGTTCTTCTCAACTAATTCCAGCCTTCAAATTATTCGTATCAACGATGTTTCGTCATACTTCGTATTTACAGAACTTTTTACTATATAATATTTTAACCTTATTCTTATCCGCAAAATACATCGGCAT